GCAGGGGCTGTGTCTGTCTTCATGACCACTGCCCTCCTGAGCCTCGCTCTGACTGTGGCCCGTAAACACGCGCTCGAGGACACTGCGCTGAGCACCCACCCTGGTTAGAGCGGGGGTGCTGAATTCCGCCTTCTCCACTTACTAGCCACGTAACATTAGGCAAGCGACTCGACAGCTGCGTATCAGTTTCTTCCTCGGTAAAATGGGGTGAGTAAGGTGTTTATACCTCGTAAGGCAATGAAGACATATAAGGTCCTTGGAATAAAGTCTGACACGTGGACAGTGCTTGATAAGCGTTAGCTACCTTCAGGGTGGAGACCATTTAGTCAAAACTCCCCAGGGCAGGAGCGGGGGTGGGGGGGTGGGGAGGTTTCTTAATCTAGTATGGCTCTGAATGGGGCTGCCCAACCCCCAGGTACCGAGTGCTCCCTCCTGCAGGTGCTCCCTGGGCGGTGACCCAATACCCCGTCTGGGAGCTGGGGCCCGTGCCACAGGATGATCCCATGACCCTGCGTATGCAGCCTCTGGGAGGCTGGGAGGAGCCTGGCAGGGGGAGGGGGAGGGGGATAGGCTGGGCCAGGGCCAGGGAATTTGTGACAGTATCAGGGCTTTAAATTCCCAAGAGAAATCTGAAAATCTGATCTTGCACATCTAAGAATAGCCACTGGTTTCAACTGTGAGAGCGCCAAAGTGAAAGCTATAATTATTAGTAAGTAACAAGCAGAAATTAACCACCTACCGCAAAGTCATTTTTAGCTGCCATCCCAATGTGGAAATTAAAGGATGGGCAACAAAAAGCTGCCTGGCGTGGCAAAGGCTCTGGTTCAACCTGGAAGGTCTGGGAATGTGTGAATCTCCGATGGCCAGCCATCAGTTTGCATCCTACGGAAGTATGGCTCCTAGGGAAATGGGTTTTGCGGTACAATAAACATCATGTGCTCTAATGGAGCTCCCTGGACTCTGTCTCATTCCCCAATAAGACCACAGAGGCACTTATTTCCATCTGGCCTGGGTCCTCCTGCAAAGGAGAGGAGATAACTCCTTCTGCCCTTCTTTATAAGATGATGTATATACCAATGGCCCCAGAAGGTGCTTGGAACTTTAGGAAAGGAGGCCATAAAACTGGCTAAATATTACGTGAAGTCCAGGTGCCATCAAGAAAAGATCGATAAATATATATTTAAAACTGGCAAAAACAAAAACAAAAACAAAAAACACATACAAAATAAAAATAGGAGAAAATATTTATAGCTCCTATCACAGACATGAAGCAAATTTCTTTGACACATAATACATGCTTACAAATAAAAAAGAGAGCTCAGCATCTAAGAAGAGAAATGAGCAGAAACCATGAACAGGCAACTGAAATACCACTTTTCACCTATCAGGCTGGCAGAGATCTAGACGTCTGAGAGTTTGTCATGTTGACAAGGATGCAAGAAAATGGGCCACTCACACACTGTTGACGGGGCTGTAAGTTGGTACTATTCTGTGGAAGTCAATGCGACCAAATTTATCAAAAGTGAAGAGTATATATATACCTTTGGTCCATCAAGTCCATTTTTAGGAATTTATCTTACACTCAATATACAGAACAATAATATATGGAAGGATACTTAATGACACATTGTCCATAATGGCAAAATATTAGAAATAATCTAAATGTTAACTAATGGAGTACTGGTTAAATGATGGTACATTCATACAACAGATTTATACCATGCAGCCAGGAAAAAGTCCGAGTTAGCGTTACATGCTCTGATGAGCAATGACCTCTGCGTGTGAGTGACAGCTCGGGAAAGCGCACACGGGTTTGCTAACAGAGGTTGCTGTTGGTGGGTGGCTGAGGCTCAGGGGCAGGATGAGACTTTTCGCTCTCCATCCTTTGTACCTTTTCAATTGTGTCCCACACGTAGGTACTGTCACAGAGGTCCCAACAAACTAAGGAACAAAACACACACAACCCATGCTGGTGAGCCACCAGGTGTCCTGGTGAAGAGCTGGAGGCACTGGGGTCAGAGGGGAGGGTGTGCCCAGGGAGCAAGTCCCACTACTCAGGAATGGAGGGACCCTGTGTGGCCAAATGTTCTTGGTCTTCCCAGATCTGTGCTCCCTGCTAGGCCAATGGTCCGTTCCCTCACAGGACAGTGGACGCTCAGGTGTCTAAATCATGATCTCTTTGACATTCAAATGGACATTCCAGTGGCCCAGAGACCTGCTCATACAATAGGCTGAAAATCGAAGGTTGTCTGAGTGACCTCAACTGCTAGTTTCAGGGCCCCCTTCGTCATGGGCTCTCATCATGAGCCCCCACTACACTCAGCTCACCAGGGAACACAACCTAGAGAGGAGAGACCCACAAATGCCACAGTAACACCATGGCCTTGGGCGTTAGGCCTTGATCTAACCAGTTTCCTCCAAAGCTTGCAAAATTTACAGAAACTGGCAGTACTGCTAGGCCTGATGATGGAACCATAAATTGTCCAACAGCCGGAGGGGGGCGAGGGGGAGGTCACTGCTATCTTGCCTCTCAGAGAAGTAGAGCTCAAACCAGAGATGATAAAGCCTTCCGGTTAAGTGGAAGCTGTTTTCACAGTTCATTCTGAAGTTACCTCTTCAAAGACTGTATGAATATATGATCTGATTCTAAATCTTGACTCAAGGTCGTTGGTTTGAAAGAGTCAATATGGCACAGATCTCATAATATTCTAATTTGCTCAGTGCATTCATATAACATAAGCACCATGACTATTCTGTCCAGAGTTTATAAGGCAGGTATGGCATTCGTTTCCCACAGTCCAATGCCACCAACTTGTAGACTGTTTTTTTTTTCCTAAATGTTTTTCCATTCATTTTTGATAGAGAAAGAGAGAGAGAGAGAGAGAGAGAGAGCGAGCGCAGGTGCATGAATGGGGGAGGGGCAGAGGAAGAGGGGGATCGAGGATCCAAAGTGGGTTCTGCACTGTCAGCAGTAGGTCGATGCAGGGCTCGACGAACCATGAGATCATGACCTGAGCTGAAGTCGGATGCTCAATTGAGCCACCCAGGTGGCTGACCCCCAACTTGTAGACTATTAAAAGCCACACTTATTAACTAACCATGAGAACTTTGTTCTGTGCTATAGGCTGTGCCGAAGAGAAGCGGATATTATGTGCTTACATAAAAATTCAAGGATAGCTCCACACTAAATCTTAGCCACCGAGTTCTTCAATGTTCTAATCAGCAGCCACAAAATCCCCTCTTGAGAGTCATGTGAGACATGCAAAAAGGAACAGAGTCTGGATAACCAAATAAGGGGCAGCAAGCCAGTGGGAGGGGCCATTCTGGAACTCAGTGACCCTCACTCAGGTCAGTGACTTTTCCAAGAAATGGGCAAGAGGTGCAGTGCCCCTGAGGTCAAGGAAGTTCATTCCAGCCTAGAAGCACTGCCTTCAGCTCTTCTGGGGTTTTTAGACACTGGCCCTCCAAAATCCCGACTTTAATTCCAATCTGAAAGACACCTCTGCCCCCACACTGGCCCAGCAGGGTCAGCCGGTCTCTCCTGGCCCAGACAGCGAAGCTTTCCCTCTGCTCTCTGTAGTCACCACTCATGATGAAGGATGGGACAGGTGCCAGGCCCTGGACTGGGGACCGGGCTCTTCTGCGGGAGAGCCGCATTCGTGCAGAAGGAGGCATTACTGCTGTCCCCACGCCCTGGGCGCCGGCTCATCTAGGCCCCGGCGAGAGGCCACATGCCGGCAAGCGTCTGCGCAGGAAGAACAATCAGCACATTCATGAATCAACCCTCTTTTGTACTTCTGCTTCGAAGAATGTAATTTGTTAATTTACGGGAGTTGTTATGGCTCAATTAAAGATGCCAGCACAGAAGAGGCCGGCTGAGCTTGGCTCCGCAACATGCCAAAGCCAGGTAGCTCCGACCATGTTTCCAACGAACGTCCGCCAGTGGTGCCAAACAAGCTGAACGTCACACAATGAGCCTTGGCACAAGGGGAGTGAATAGCTGGACAACAGTCGGTAGTAAGTACTTTCCTCAGCCAAATCCGGGCTTCCACTGTGGCCCCGGAGGGTCTAGCCCGGAAAGGCCCAATTGGGGTCTTGCAGACCCAATGATAACAAGGAACAGAAGTTACTGTCTATACACAAACATAAATACGGAAGGAAGGCAGTGGCAATCACCTGCCCGGAGCCTCTGTGTGCTGGGGCTCTGGTTGCTTCAAAGCCTGCGTGTGGGATTTATCTGGGGGGGTTTCCAGCCATGTGCCAGCAGTCATGTGAAACTGGAGGCAGGGGGACAATCACATCTGCCATCTGGGCTGGTTTCCAGTCCTGCGGCTGCTGCTACCCATCCCCCGCTCTGCAGATTGGCAGGAGTGCCAAGAGAGAGGGGGGCAGGGACATGGAAAGTGCTGCCCCTTTCCTGGCTTTGACGAAGACACTGGAGTCATCAACATAGCCATCTCATCTCCCAGGGACCCCAGGATGCGCCAGGCACTGTGCTCACCAACCCTAGGAGGCGGGTGCTATGACCCCCGCCACACAGATGAGGACACTGAGGGTGAGGGGCGAAGCTATTAGCTCCGGTCTACACAGCCGGTAAAGAGTAACGGACTTCCAGACTTCCGAAGCCTGGGGCATCCTGCTATGCTGTCTCCTGCAATGCAAGCCTGGGTGCAGTTCTGGGGCCCCTGCTGCAGCAGCAGAAATCGTACACCTCCCACAGCAAGCTCCCCAAGACTCTTAGCGTTTTCTGCCGGATGCCTGCTCTGTACCAGGCTCTGGGTGAGGGCGCTGATGTACGGGACGGGCGGGGTGATACACAGTAACCCCTGGTTCCTGGAAGGAAGTAGTGGCATCCTGGTGTGTGGCCGCAAAGGCTGGGATTTTTCCAGATACGGGGTTGGAGGCTAAATGGGCAGGTGCCCACACACAGGAGGCTCCGGCCTCAGGCTCAGCGGTGGTTGGGGATGGTGGGAGAGCCCCCGGTGGGGGCAGGGAAGTACCTGCATGGAGCCAGATCTGCGCCAGCGTCATCCAGGGGTGTAGCGGGCCCTGCTTGGGGGCGCTGCTCTGCAGAGACGAGGCCACTTCCGACAAGGCCTGCTCCACTCTCGAGGCTGCTACTGAAGTGGCGTGGACGGAGCCTGTGAGGGGTTTCCGAGAAGACGGCATCAGAATCAAAGGACAGACCCGACTGACCAGCCACCCCTCCCCCGCCCCAACCCTTCCCACACACAGACACAAGTTCAAGACGAACACACACTCCTTCCCCGGGACGTTTCTAAGTCTTAGGTCCATAAAGAAATACAGACAATCATTATGGCCTTGAACCTGAGTTTCCATCTAAGGCTCTCACTAATCTTTCAATCAACAACCAGAGCACATGCCGTGGGAGGTGCTCCCTCGAGGAGCTCAGTCTAGGACAGCGCAAGTGTTGTGGGGGGGGCACAGGGGGACAGCTAGTGACACAGCTGTGGCTCTCATGCGGAAATGTGGCATAAACGAAGTGCTAAAAAGGGAAGTTACAGGGGACCCCTGTCAGGATCTAAACCTGGAACCCACTGGCGGCGGGGGTGGGTGGTGGCCATCCGGGGAGGCATCATCCCTGCCTCCTGGGGATGGAGGCCATTCTCAAGACAAACCCAGGAACTTGTCATTCTGCTCCCTGGCTTTCAAGAGGCGGCTGACACCCTTGGATTTGGAACCACATCCTAGGACATGACTTAGGAATGGCAGGGAGAGCATGCTTTCACCCTACGTACAAGGGGATGTCTGTTATCAAGGCCAAACGGAGGGAGGTGGGCTGTAGCGAAGGCGCCTATGCTCAGGAGTTGTTACCCGCCTGACTCTTGGGTCAAACTTGTCCTAAAAGGCTAAGGAGAGGCGTGGACCAAGCACATTCACCAGGCAGAGGGAACTGGCGAAGGAACTTCTATTCAGAAATCAAATGACATTCCTCTTCCTGTGGCCCTTCTATGGGTCCTGGTGGCGGGAGACCATCAGGGGCTTGCTCCTCACCTCTTCCCCAAGTTCACTCTTGGAGGTGTGGCTTCAGAGCCAAGAGCAAGAGCCTCTGTCACTTCAAGGTGAGATCTGTAGATATTTATATCACTGGCCACATTCTAAATTTTGAATTCATCATAAAGCATAGTATATAGATAAACACGGAACTATCCACTTATCCTAAGGATTCAAATAGTGATAATACATAGAGACCAATGCTAACTACTCAAGTAAATGGAGCTGGTTATACTTTAGATAAGACAAAATGATGAGCAGAAATATAATTTCTGTTGGAACTTTGAAGTGCCCCATAATTTATTCATTTTAAGAGTATTTGCAGCGATAGACTGGCCATCCATACTGTGTTCTGACCGTTCCAACATGAAGGAAACACGGATACCTCTAAATACACTCAAATCCTTCAGCAGGGGTTTGGTGGCGGTGGCTTCCGGCAGGTGGACGGAAACCAGACCAGGGATTCACCTTCCGTGGATAATCCACACGGGGCGCCCACGAGGATGAGCAAGAGGAGAGCCCCCCTGGGGAAGGAAGCGAGTCCTGCAGAGCGAACACGGCCACACAGGAGAAGGAACCGGAGGCCGAGTTAGAAGACACCAGTCGATGCCATTACGATCCGGGGGACCTGATTAAGTTCAGCTAAGAGTGGACTCCTGTGTACACAGCGTGTGTCTGACTACTTAAAAAAAAAAGAAAAAAATCTACACAGCAAAGTGATTACACTGCTGTTGATGTTTTTGGTCTTGTTTTGAACTTATTTTTAATGGAAAGTAAATATTTTAGCTTTGAGAAGATTTGATATAGTTTTCCTGAGAGTTTTAGTAGCAGCTGTCAGTTAAATTAACAAGGGTGCTGTTGCTGTTTTCTGATGTCACCACGCTGGCTTGCCTTCTCACTGACTGCCTTGAACAGTGGTTCTCAACCTTGGCTTCACATCAGAATTACTTGGGGGGGGGGTTAAAAACACATGATGTCATAGCTATCACCCCCCCACACCGACTGAATCACTAGCTCTAGGGATGGGGCCAGGCCTATTGTTAATCACCCAGCTGATTCCACCACCGACCTAGAGAGACAGAAAGCAGATGTCATTAATGTTTGGTCAAAAAAAAAAAAAAGACCTGAAAGCATATTCTGCACACGCCAGGCAGCGAGCGTGAATTTTCCTGCTTCCCTGCAGCCCAAGACTCTGGGGAACGGAGTTCCAGGACGATCCTGTTCTTTAAAGAACATTGGTTCTCAATTCTCTTGGTCTCAGGATCCTTCTATAGAGTCAGCAGAGTTACTGAGACCCTCACCCCACCTGAGACTGTACTTATAGGGGTTATATATCTATATTTATTTATCACATCAGAAATCAAAACTGAGAAACGCTTCAAATACTTAGTCATGAATTCATTACAAGATACAACAAAAAGAACTACTACTGAAGAAAAATTCTACACGTTTTCTAGAAGGTTCTATGGGTTCCTTGCTACAAGGGACTTGTGACTTTTGGAGGGGCTAACTTTGCTTCTTGGATTAACTGTTTTATTCAGTCTGCAAACAAATAAATCAGAACTGTTGTTAAAGTTCTTCCTCTTTGTGATACCTACATATGACTAAATTAGCTAATCATTCACATAATACGTTTCGCAGTGAATAAGTTCTGGAAAATGATGACGGCAGTGGTGATCAGTTTTGGTGGCCACAGTGTGGCAGGTTTTAGGCACTCTCGACTAATACTTTAAATAGATTATTTCATTTAACCTTTAAACAGTTCTGGGAGGCAGCTAACCATGTTATCTGCATAGTTTAGATAACAAAACTGAGATTTCATGAGGTTATGAGCTTATTCAAAGTCCTACAGCCAGTGGGTGGCAAACTCAAACAGTAGTCTAACTCCAAATCTAGCCTCTAAATCCAGCTCCAGTGCCACCTCCTCCAGGAAGGCTCCCTGCCCCTCCCCTGTAAGATAGGCCTTGGTGCCTTGGGCCCTCGGTGCTCCTATAGCTCCCTGGGGGTATGGCTATCATTCTACAGACCATACTGTTTCATGTTAAAGTTAGTGTAACTGTTGTAACTGTCTTTCCTCTTAGATGGTGTGGTTCTGGAAGGCAGGAAGTATGCCCTGCACTTAAGTGCTCTCAGGGGCTAACAATGCCAAGCCCATGAGAGCTACCTGGTAAATGCTTCTGGAATGAATAAGTGCATGAGTACTGTCAACCGGCGCATCACTGTCTGAAACTTGGAAGAGAGTGGTTCCCTCTCTTGGAAAAGCATGTCCGTGTCCTCTACTCTCCCTGCCTGACAGTGGCTCTGAGGCCAGAACCTTCAAGATCTCAAAGGGTTTCTCAGTGTGGCTGTTATCGCCTCCAACCCCCCAAGGCTGTGAATGAGTGTGGCACACTGTGAGATTCAACACTGCACCTCACTCAGTGACTTTCCCCCATCTCTAATACAGCCAAGCCATTTAAATATGGAGAGTGATGGAGGTTTCTCAGAAATATTTGTTTCCTTCCCAGCCAATCCCTTTTAACATCTGCTTCACAAGGGAGAGACCCTTCATGTTCTAAACCAGGGACGGATATCGGAGCCTTCAGATATTTACTACTAATAGGTGACAAATAACAACGACAACACTATTTAATAGTTAACATCCACTATTCCTGGCAATAATCGGATTCTTCCATTGGATTAGAATTTGGAGGAAAAAAAAAGATAAACATGATTATGAATCAGAATGAATGTATCTGATTAAAGAAAATAACCAAAACAGCCTGTATCTTACTGTCTCATGGGACTAAAATGGTAAGTGCCAAAATAGATACTATATCAAAATAGATTGGGATGTATGTAGGTACACAACTCGAAATGCTAGTTCTAACCAACACTTTTTTTTAAAAAGCAATCCTTTTCCTTCTCACCAAAGCAAATGTATTCCCACAGCATACGTGGGGTGGAAGGGATTATACCCTAAGAGAAATGGATGAATTGAGGCTTCAAAAAAGGAATCAGATGGAGGAAGGAATAGAAGACTTAGTTCTAATTTGAAATCCAAGACTCTGGAGGAATCAGCTCCCACATAATCATAGGTCCCACAGGTAAGTGAGGGAGGCCGGCTGCTGTACATCTTATTTAGCCCAGGAATTTGACACATGCTTATCGCTGTCCTAATCCTGCGGGTGGAGCAGCTGTCGTGCTCCACCAAGTCCCTCAGCCACAGGGCACGGGGGCCTCGAAAAGCCACCGCAAAACCAACTGAACCGAGAACTGACCCAAGCAGGTGAGAGTGCGCCCTAAAAGCTGGTCCAAGTTCTGTGACCTGATCGTCCGAATGGTCCGGGGGGGGGGCGGCGATCAGATGCCCTGGAGCAGAGATCTGTGTTTTCTCAAGCCAGCTGCTCTCTCTTCCCTGCCACCAAGATCCCCCAAAAGAAAACGTCATCTTGGGCACCTGATATGAAGGCAAAGTACCATCCAATGAACGGATCCCTGCACCGAGGGTTTTCATCGGGGTTCTCCTTGGACCAGCCTATGTGCGGGGATGGGGGGAGGGAAGGCGACAGAGTGGCCCTGGGGACTGTAGGGGACAGCCATCTCCCCATGGCGGAGAGGCTCCTGAACCAAGGCCACTGACCTCAGGAAGCCATAACTCAGAACCCCTCCTGAGGTTTTCTGACCTATGCTGCTCTCATGTGCTGAACCCTGTTGAGAAACGCTGCCACAGACAAGACACCGGGAACGGCCAGCTCAAGTGGCTTGTGTAGCTGCAGCCTTTACAAAAATCCTCTTCCTGAAGCCCGCTACACCTGTGGTTGACATCACACAGCCCTCCAGCGTGGCAGCTGTGTGCGAACCCATCTCCCCATTCAAAGGGATCTCGGAGGCAACCGTTTTGTTAAGCGCAAGGCACGATGAATTACGTGGCTTGGTTATGTTCGCTGAGGTGTTGTTTTCACAGGCATGGTCACTGAATGCATGGCCTATATTTATATTCCAGCTGTCCTTCTGTCCGTTCTGGTGGCATTAGGTAAGCGGCTCTCGTCTGAAGGGTGTGCACCCTCCCTCTCCCCTCCTGTCTTTCCAGTGTGGAGCAGATAAGCCAGATCTGAGATGAAAGCCTGCCCACCTAGCGACTAGGCAAGCATCAAAGTCCAGGAACAAGGGACAAGTGTGATACGACGTGCAACAAAACTCATTTTCCAGAGATGTCAGTAGACACAGCTCGCGTGCGTTTGCTTGGCGTCCAGGCTGCCTCTGCTTCCCAGCCCCAGAATCAACTTGGATGCCCCATGTGCATGAATATGGAGAGGATGATGCCGCTGTGCCCCAAGTCCCCCCTCTCTCTGCTGGCCACCCACATTCTCCCTGCGTACCGCCATAGCAGCAGATCTCTGGCCTCCCCACATTTTTTTTTTTTTTTTTCCTGAAAAGAAACAGAGCTTCAGCAGCGGGCACACAGAAACCTCCACGGCCGATAAACCCTGCTACTGATTTTCCCTCAGTTCCGAAATAAGTCAACATTATCTGTCATTAGACTTGATTCAGCTTCCGGTTTCTGAGAAGCTGTGCCCCCCAAAACAATTCAAGTAAGAAGGAAAAGGCAGCAGCTCCACTTCTTAAGACCCCAGATACTAAATAGGATGCGAATGACTAAGCATTCTTGCCAGAGAGCTTTGCTTACAATTTTTCATTTTTAACGGGAAAAGAACGTCTGTTTCTCGAGATAGGGCTCGAGAGTAACTCAGTCCAACGCTGCAGACTGCTGGCAGTCAGTGACCTTCTCACAGCTGCCACCTGTGCTTGAAGACCCAGGCTGTCCTCGGGGGGGAAGGAGACAGCCCGCTAGCTAGTGATGACTCTCTTATTTTTTGGCGGGGGCGGAGAGCCCACTCCCCATGGGCATTATTTACCTCTGTACCACCCCCGATTCCTGCTGGAGGTGGTCCCGCTTCACTAAGGAGGCTGACTGGGGGCTGGGGTGGGCTCCTCGCTGTGCTGGGCTCCCCTCTTTGTAGCACATGGTCTACCAGGGGGACAGGGGTGTGGGGCTCTAGTGCTTTCTAGGCAACCGCCGGCCCTACCCGATTCCCATGACAGCCAGGCCCCCTGCTTGTGGGCTCCTCTGATCAACAGCTCTGGTCCCCATTCTAGAAGATACTTTCCTTTTTCAGGGAGTGGAAAAGAGATTAAGACAGCCCAGTAAATCAGGACAGCCAACCCCCCTGGTCCCAAGACGAGATCACAATTTCCAAGTGACTTTAACGGCGTATCAGGCACAGCTGAAACCTGACAGGACGTGTCTTCTCCTGAAGGGGGAGAGTTCTCCCCAGGGAAAGCTTTAGGGAAGAGCCCCACTGAGGCAGGGAGAGACTGGGGGGCGCGGTCACCAGAGGGCATGCGGGGTGCCCCAGCATGCTGACAGCGGGAAGTGTGGAGGGAAGCCGTTCACAAGCGTGCGGGAAGATGCCAGCTGTCAGGGGGAGCCGAGCCATGGCTCTGGGCTGGAGACAGTACCTTCTGCAGGACGACACCAGGCAGATGCTCTCATCGCCATCAGAAACCCTCCCTGTTGCATATTCATGAGGCTGTGTCTTAGCACTCACGTGCCTGGGGAAGGCCGTGTGAGTCTTTGACCATAGCTTCAGGGGGAAAAGCCTTCCCGGTTTTGGGTGAGGGTCTAATTACTGGACACCACTCCTTAACTTCTATCTGAGTGCCATTTGTTACTGACGTGTCAGCCTCCTAAGATTCTATTCAATCTTCTTTAAAGAAAGACACCACAGAACTAATTGGGGAGAATTAATTTTAATTTCATTAAAATAGCAAGAGGAGGTTCATCCTTGAATCATCAGGGCTGGAGGTTTCTAATTGCCATCCCTCCAAAGCAGTGAGGTCATCACTAAGAGTAACTTTTTCATATACAGATTAAAAAAAAAAAAAAAAACCCAAAAAAACAAAAAAAACCCCGACTTTATTCTGTTAAGCAGGAGCAAAGGGTGAAATACACCCAACGTACTAGTCATTTCCTGATCACGAGATACATTTTTAAATGTCAGAAAATGCAAGGTCGATAACAAAATGCTAGCCATAAGAAAAGGGGAAAAAACAACGACCTTGAGTTTGTTTCTCAACCTTATTTCATTCCAGGGGTTTGTTTATCATTAATCTGTTTATTCTCTTCTGTGGGTTACGTGTTCCTAAAAGGGGCAGCAGCTTAACCAGAATGAGAGATATGAAAAACTGAGCCAAGAACCCAAGTCAGCGTTCTTGATGTGAGCACGTTCTAAAGGGAGAGGTGAATAAAACATCGACATACATTTTTCCTCCAAGCTAAGGACTGCAAGGGCACTGGAGAATGGGGCCACCTGGGGTCCCCGGGTCTAAGGAGTGGTGAGCAGTGTGGAGAGAGCCTTGGACAGTTGCATCCCTACTGGGCTCTTCCCACCTGGCGGCCTTGTTCCTGTGGGAACCGCAGCTGCCCCCGTCACTCGGGAGGGACACCTGTCCGAGGCTTCAGATGAGGAGGGGCTCCTGGTACACCGTAAAGGCATGTGTGAATAGAATTAGTAAGCTGACATCCCTACAGATGGGGAAACTAAGGTGGACGGAGATTAAATGAGTTCCCTGGGTTCTTCCACAGAATTGGCCCTTGAACCCAGGTTTCCTGACTTTGGAGAGAGCTGAGTGGTTTCCATGGAAGATAGTTAAGCCCCTTGTAGAAATGTGTCAAGCCTCACTGTTACTAATAAGGGCTGCCTAAAGATTTTAATGTAACCCGACTTTCTGAAAATCAAATCTTTTTAATGTATCCGAGGAGCCTGATATTGAAAGAACCTTGATGGTGAAATCCTTTTTTTTTTTTTTTCCCTGTGAAGAACCCTAATGTGATGACAATACCAAACATACCTCTTCTATTATGGACTTGATTTTATTTTAAAAATGTTTTATTTGTATTGACACTTTTAGAAGCCAGAAATAAAGTCACATCTAAGCTGAGCTGGATTTCAGAGGGGAAGTCAACTCCCTGAGGGGAATATATGCTATACGTAGTAAAGGCTCAGATCATTCAAATGTATTGGATCACCATATACATTAGCATTTCCCAGAATGCAGTCCCTGGAATAGTGATTCAACAAGGTGGGAAAAAATGATAAAATAAACTTGGGAACAGGGAGGGAGTCACATTTCAGAGCCTTGAATTTTTTTTAACTACAGGACTTCTCGGAGTCTTTAATGGGCTAACGTGAACTGTCAGTCGCTAAGAGGGAGATGCAGTATTTCCCAAAAATATTTGCCCAGAGAATCAGCAGCCTAGGAAACATCCTTCGAAAGATGTGAAACTTCACTCATGCCTTGAAAGAATACCACGTAAAGAATTAGCCCTACACCCAGGGAACTGCTTAGTCTCCTTGAAATTTTGGTAGATGTAGGTTAAGTTTTATGATATCCATTTGGCTTGTTTTAGGAAAATTCATGGTTAGAACTGACTGGAAAAAAATTTCAAGATTCAACTGGCCCCCTCTACCTGAAATTCACAGATGACCCACACCGGGGAGGCTGAGTGCCTCATGCTTCCATTTGGTGCCAGTGGGGCTGCTGGCCAATCCACAGATGACCTTACTTGGGCATCTTTCCCACACCGCCTCCTTCTGTAGTCCCTCCCAGAGAAGTACTGCCTCCTCAGTGCTTAAGCCCAAGCTGCGGCCGGAATGCATTAGAATCTCGGGAGAGACAGCCCCCCCGGGCGGGGGGGGGGGCGAGTGGGCAAGCAGGTGGCAGCCTGGTGTCCACGTTCTCTCAGCATTCCCAGCAACCGACAACAAAAACACACATGCTGCGGTGGAGGGAGAAGCGTGGTTCTGGAGACCCTCGGGAAGGTTAACAGATAGATCGGTAAACTACTTACTAACTGAGAAAAGGGAGGGGAAACCATGAAAGTGAACTTCTGGAGAGTTGCCTTGGAACAACAAACCAAATCAAAAATTAAAACCAAGAAATAAAACATTTGAAAAATCAAAATTAAGGCTAAAAAAAGCAAATAAAGTTCTAATAACCTTCCAACTGTAAGTCTGGTTGTCTCGAATTAGATTTCAATTCAAGAGTGACACATGTTTTTCCACTAACAATGATCCCCCCCCAAAATCAAAAAAGGCCAACTGGGCATTCCCCTCTGCATTTAAATGTTCCCCTGGCACATGAGAGCTGACCGATTCATGTAACGTGTTTTGTTCCCAGGGCAGGAAATTCCAAAGGGAAGGGAAAAATAATCAGACAAGCACTTTTCAGATCTTTCCACCACTAACCCTAATCGTGATTCCAATACTTTGTACACTTGGGCTCGTTTTTGCTCCTATGAAGTCAAAGGATTGGGGAGAGAAATGCATAGCACTTGGGGCCGTGGTGATCTCTCCTAACGGAAGGAGCTAGGATTCACACTCATTACAATTTTAATCAAGAGATTTTACATTTATCAGTAACGTGTGGTATGTTTTCCCCTTCTCTAACTAAATGTTGGGGGGAGAAAGAGATTCTTGGGCACATTCGTCTTGGTGTGAAACACCTGGTTACTGGCGAGGCACTCCCTAAGGACGGAAAGATCAATCAGAGTTTTTACAAAGAATAAACAGTTGAGTCCTTCGTGGGACACAGCACATTCAGCAGAAAGCCCAGTGGGTGCTCATCACCCTAACAATTTACTAATTAATCTGACATGCAGTGCTTCCCTGCAAAGTCAGGACTTTAGTCTTGAAAGGTCGAAAGGAGCACAGGGCTCCTCAGGATGCTGTTGATCAAGGTGGGTTTGCTGTGTTACAGGAGTGGACAGGCCGGTGGGAATATATCATGCTATTCTAGAATGCGAAGATCCCATTTTAAGACCAAAACACTGGGCAACAGTCAGTGTGAAAAAACAACTTTTCTGGAAAAACTGAAGGTGGCAATTGCCTGGAGGCATTGTATTAGAGAAAATGTCTATTTTAAGAAGTGGATTAAAAACAACCTAAGCAGTTTATAAACAGTATCTTCATCTTGCGTTTCGTGAAGCTGGGATTGCAAAGTTCAGCACATAGAGTTGCTATGCAGATAAGTAAAGCCAGAGTGTTTCCTGGTCTAGGTGATTTATTTTAGAGGGGTAATGATAGCCTCATTTCTGCCCCCACTTTGTGTGCGTGTGTGTGTGTGTGTGTGTGTGTGTAACACAGCAGGTTTACCATCCCTAAAGATGAGCACATTAGAGGAGGCTGTTCTCTCTGACTGCTCCTCCCCTTAGGGGCTTTTGTTCTGCATATAACTGAGCATCTGGGACAAAGATGAGCTCTTATAAATCACGGATACAGAGATTAAATTTTCTGGCAGTGCTTTGGGCAAAGTGGACATTAAATCAATAAGTGAAAGGAAGCAAGCCTGGCCCCTTGTGGGGAGACCCACAGTTAGGTCCCATCGAAGGACCTTGCCAACCATTGCTTCATTTTGTTACAGGAATCTCTCTCTCTCTCTCTCTTTTTAAATGGACAGGTCCCCAAACACTGTAAAACAGACTTTCAAACTTCTGTATTACTTAAAAGCAGGATTAGATTAAAATACTGTCCAATTTCCCTACAGGGTTTCATGGGTTTTCACCCATACCCTACATTTTCCTTCCTTGCAAGTGGAAAACAATTTACAGCATTGCTTCCCAAGATGTGGCAACCCATTGGCTTTGGAATCCTGAGTGGGTGCTCTGTAAATCCAGATGCCTGGGCTCCGGCTCAGAACTACCGAGTCATAAACTCTCGGGATGGAGTTCGGGGGATCTGCAGTTTTTAAAGCTCTTCGTGTGCCTTTAATACATAGTAAAGTTTGAGAACCACAAATTTAAAGGGTATACGACCATTATCTTTAGGATATCACCTTGATCACTGCATGCTTGTTTGAATTGTTTCTAAATAGAAAATCAGAAATATACCGAAATAAGTTATTTGCAAAATGTTCTAATTTGCCTTTTAAAAAAAATAGCATTTTTATGCATTTACATGAACTCGGGGAAAGCACAGAAGTAACCAAGGACAGGACGTGATTGTCTGGGAAAAACTTCTGTTTACGCCGCTCAAAACAGGTTTCCTTTCCTTTTCAAAGAGGAGGCTGGAACTTGAGCACTAATGTCTCTTTCTGCCCCAAACAGCTTTTGGATTTTCAAATTAGCAAGATTTTCCCCTCAGATAAATTTGATGGGAGTTTCCTATCCAGCTTATCAGTTAGGAAGATTATCAGAAAATGAAACATCAGGCAAATGAAGCAGGTCTAACAAGAAAGGAAAAACCATAAAGCATGTTTACGCAGAGAGGGCTCCCGGCGGGGACCTGGGTCATTGAATGAATGAGCTGCAGGGGACCACACAAAGATGTCAGGTTTGGGAGAATGAAGATGAGGAGAAACAAACAGGTGGAGAGGAGATTCGGTTCTTGAAAGAGAAGAGGAGGAGGAGGAGGAATCTGACACTAAAAAAGTGAAAGAGAAAAAAAAAAGGATAAAGGCAAAAAAAAGCTTTAGAAACACAAAGGAAAAAATAAACTAGCTTTTCATATACTCACATAAGCTGCAAAGAAAATGAGGTCATGTAATAGACAATCATTCCTGTACTGGACAACAGAATACAAGTGCTTTTCGAAGAAAACAAATTTGTTTTCTCCCCCCTCCCCCCACTGGTTATTCAATTGTTCTGCAACCACACCACGGAATAAAAATAACTCAGATTTACCTGGGCACAGACTCAGCAGCATGATCCGCTGACAATGACACATCTTTAACCCACCATATCCAGGACGTTCTAGAGGAAACTGCTTTTCATTTGGAAGGGTGCAGTAGACCCTGGCTATTCCTAGATTTGTTTTTTAGGAGAAGCACTTATATAATAGGTTTACTTGAAAGGTTAGGTTTTCCTGGGTAGAGGTACTGAGGTAGGATGACATGTCTTAGTCCTGCAGAGTGCTAAGCTTTCTAGACTGGTCTGTGGTTGGGCGCCCAGGCTGGGGCACTGTGAAAAGGAAGCTGTTGCTGGCACCTTCGTGTCTCACAGCTGGAGACATACACAGTAAGGGGAGACCACCTCGGCTATGGTGAAAAATCTTCCCAGACACAATGGACCAAACTCTCAAGCTAAAAGAATGACTTTGCTTTGGACAGGTGTCCAGTAATATCTACCGATGATTAAAGATAAATCTCCTTACTCCACATCCTGTTTGGAAGGCAAAAGGAAGAAAAAATTTTTTTTCACCCTCTATTTAAGGAACTACCAACTTATTCCTAAGAAAAGACAATGATTCATAGCTTCAACGTTAAGGCTGTCACTCTATTTGATTCCTCTTTTTCCATGGCTGGGACCTATCAGAGGTGGGGGAGGGGGGGCCAGAGGTGACCGTGGAAGGGAAACCATGTTGTTTAGGGGGACTTTTCAGTTTGCCACAACCATTTAATGAACTCAATGCTCCCTCTCTTAGCCACAGTGGACTGGCCAATCCAAAGCTTCCAGACAAGAGTTCCCCTTATGTTATCCTACAGATGTTCACGTGGGTAATTTTGGAGGTAAAAAAAAAAAAACCAAACTGACTTAATTAACCACTTCCAAAATCAATAATGCTGAGCCTGCACCTTATAATGACCCAGATGTATAATAATAGCATTGTACTTATATTTTTAAAGAAGTTCTTATCTATTCGACATGTATACTGAAATTTTAGGACCCAAAATATGATGTCTGAGATGTGCCCTAAAATACTCTGTAGGAACTAAGTGTGGGACAGGAGAGGTGGATGGAGGAGGAATATTAGTTGCTGAAAGCTGGTGGTAGGTCTGTGGGGATTCATTATATTAGTATCTCTATTTTGGTTTGTTTGAAAGTTTTCCACAGAAGAAAAATATTTTCAAAAGGAGATACATTTTTTGTCTTGCCAACAAAACCAAGGAACCCCACAGGGTCTGTCTGCACACTGGCTGACGGAGAATGGACAGGGCCATGGCAGTGAACTTCACCATGGCTCTGGCCACATCCTTGCCGAAGCCAACGCCGTGGCTTTGCTCATGTCAGATGCCCGAGACCTTTAAATGAGGGCGTTTAGGAAAGGAGAGAAGACCGGGTGTTATATGGATGAGTACTATCAGCAAGATGTCACCTGCCAGGGCTGGGTTCTCTCAGATGGTCACTTTGTTTGGATTTGGGAGCTTTTCTACAGCGGGTAAGTTCCTTTTCTCTTTTTCTCTACAGCCCAGTTGCCTTCCTAAGTGAGCAGAGTGGCAGTGGATAGTCCCAACTTGCCAGCCTCCTCCCTCACCTGCACTGGAGACTGTGGCAAAGGGAAGGAGGAAGATGGCCGAGATCCCCACGGGGCGGTAAGTCTAGAGTGTGATGACAGTGCACCATGGGATGCTATGCTGTTGTAAAGAATGTGGCCATTCTGTATGATGGACACGGAGGGATCTTTAGGACAGGCCCTGAAGTGCAAGGTGCCAGGTGCTGCACAGCACATGCATAGAGTATGCTATTTTTCACATAGGGGACATGGAAGTGATCTCTCTGAGTATCTAAATGAAAAAAATACTCAAAGGGCAAACCAAAGCGTCAATAAAAATGGTTACCTTTGGGGAAAAAGAAGATAGAGGAGCAGGGATGGGAGCAAAAACTTCTCTACAGCACCTTCCGAACCAAATCCTAAAATCTGTGTGTTGTTCACAAGTTAGGTCATCCACACAGGTGTATGAACAAGGCTGAGCTGGCCCTCAGAAGGCCCCGCCTAAACACACACCCCCTCCCCCAAGCTATCTGCAGAAAACCGGGCTCCATTAAGCAAGATGGAGGCACCCTTTCCATTTTCAGGCGAGCCTACCTAAATTTCGTCTCTTTGCTTTCAGCTGTCATATCAGAATGTACTACCCTCATTCACAACCATGGGCAAGTGGCAAGGCCTCCTGAAGTGGCCTCCCATTCTTCTGGTTCCCTGGCCTTATGGGTAAGTAATTGGCAATGTGTAAGCCAACAGTCTGGGGCCCCGGGGGCCGGGCTGGGGAACAAAGTCTTATAGGGATTCATGCAAGAACTATCTTGTAGAAACACTACCACGACAACAGTAACAAAACGGCCAGTGGCCAGGCCTGGGAGGCTGTGCTCTTCTCTTGCTGTTCAAGGGCCCCTGTGCAGGCAGTCCAGCCTCCAACCACCTGGGCTCCCAGAGTGAGTGACTGAGCAGATGCAGAAATCCCGGCCTGAGCCACAGACACACCCCACCTGGACGCTACGGCATCTGAGGTCACACTCGAAGAGGGAGATTCTTGGGGTCTCTGGGGAGAATGTCCCACGGGGCAAAGGGGAGAACAAATAACAGGGTCTTTCTTATTTTCCACCACTCTCTGTATTTCATGCGATGTGGCATTCAGGCCTTGGGACTTCAGGGGAAATTAAGGTCCAGGCCAGCTGGAAGGAAAGGGGGTCTGCATTCAGTATGACTGTCCTCACAAGGTCGTGAGGAGGGGGCGGCGGGGAGAAGACCTGGGCAGCCGCAGCGGCTGTTCGAAGGCAGCCACATTGCTGCAGGTGCTGCCGTGAGCTTCCCCGCCTCCCCACTGCAGCCCAGCCTCACCTTGCAGTGGCCAGTCCGGATCTTTCCAGCAGCGAGGCCTTACACAGGGTCTCTGGGAGCACTTCTGTGCTATTCAAAGCCAGAGGCCCCCTCCAAGGACTGCTGATCATCAGGAGGGGGGCAGACAGGCGGTGGGGGGAGGGGAGAGTTTCTCTGTAGCTTTGTCTTCCGCATTTTGAGCACTGGCTGCCAGTGTAAACCACACAGATCTGCAATTCATGCTGCATCCAATACCCAACACTCTTTTGACCTAGGAGCCCTGGGGCCCTGGGGTCAGACTTCTAAAGCCGCCTTCAAATTTGGTAAAAGGAAGCCTAGCACAGGAATGCGGTTCGCAGGCAGCTGTGAGCGTGGGCCTGGGCGGGGAGCACATCTGGCTCTGGGAGGTGGTATTTCTTTCCATGCTGCCAGGGGCACGAACTTGCAGGCGGCGGCTGTGCGTACCTCAGGGCTGCTCCCTGCTTTCTCTGGAAAGGCTTGGTCAGGAGAAGGCCTGGGAGGCTCCTTCCGCGAAGCCAGCCCATAAATGAGCAGGCACACCCAGATGGAGATTAAGCCTCACAGAGGCCCTCTGAGGAGCAGGGGGAGAGAAAGGAGAAACAGCTTTCCAAGGATGCTGTGAAATGGTCTCCAAGGCTCAAAGCAGAGGGAATTTCTTTACATCCTCCAAACTGCCCCTGAACAATCAGTGTAACTATTAGCATGACTGTTTGGAGGCTTGGAAGTGACAGAGGTATATTTATTTCTCTGTTCCCCAGGCAGATGTGGAAACACACACGACGAGGTGTACCTATCTGCTCAGAGGCAGCTTGTGGCTGGCCTCCTCATGGGGACAGGGGATCAAAAGCTCGGAACCCACCTGTGTCCCTAAAGGGCCTTTTGGCCAGGGGTGGGGGTGGGGAGGGTGTTCCTATGTGCAACTGATTAAAAATCAATACCCAATTTCAGCAAGGTCTGAAACCTAAAGAGAGAGAGAGAGAGAGAGAAAGAGAGAAAGAGAGAGAGAGAGACGGAGACAGGAAAGCAGAGGGGAAGCTTCACGGGGATGGGAACGATCTAATTTTAGTTTTGAATTTTAGGCTTTGAGAACAAGGGGAAAAATAGAAAAGATTTCAAAGAGCTGTGCCGGGCAGGCACTAGTGCACCACTCACTGTGAACACACACTTGAAGAGACGCTGGAGAAAACGCGCCTCGATTCGAGTGTAACCTCGTTGCATGAGGAGTGTGTTTCCAGGCCCAGTTCCTGGCAGTGTCCACCCCACGCCCCTCGGGGCCAGGCCCCACGTGCCCGCGGACACCATGTTGTCCCCTCTGGTCTTGTATTCTCACCTGTCTCGGGATCGCTGAAGTCTGGCAAGGTAATTGTGTTAAGCTGTCGTCTGTCAGCAATGGTTCTATCTAAGAGGCTGCTCCCACGTCCAGAGTCACTGCAAAACACAGCTACAGAGGTCAGTCATTCGGAGGGGGGTGGGGGAAAGACAGAGATGTCACCACCACGGACCCCTGAGCGCCCTAACACAGCTTTTGGGCGTCTTTGATGTTCTTTAACACCCTCTCTGTGGACCACCGGGCATCCTGCTTCTGGCCAGGCCCGGCCTGGGATCGCTTCCCATGTTCACGGTCACAAACACAGGTAAACCACACCCACAGACCCTTGCTAAGTTTAGCCGCTTTTGTGTCATTATAAGATACTTGAAAGAAGACTTGAAGGCAGGGGCGCCATCCGCCTTAGAGCAGGGAACGGACTTGATTCGCATTCTGTGTTGCAAGTCTTGGAACTCCTCAAGCCCATAAACACACACCGTCTGCGAACTGCCTTCCCAATCAATGGTCTGTGCCTAAGCCCTCACTGCCCCGGAAGGTCGCCTGCCTGGGGCATTTCTAGGAGACCCTCATGCCTAGGGCCCTCTCCAGACCAAATCCATCAGCATTTCTGGTGCAGTCGATCTTTCTCCAAGCTCCGCTGAGGGTTCTGAAGCGTAGCTGAATCTGAGAACCGCTGGCCCCTACTTTTCCTTTCCAAGGGCAACCGCAGCCGGGGCCTCGTATGTGTCCCTATTTAACAGATGAGGAAAGGGGGTTGAGAGCTCATATGGCAGCTGCAGCCTGCTCCTACGGAACAGGCTTGGCACCACTGGTTGGCAAGTCACGTGGGAGACCCCACTGGGCTCCGGGTGGAAAGAAACACCGGTAGGGGACCTAAGTCCATACAGACTCTTGTTTTATTTTGTTCTAAGAAGCTTGTAACAATGACATCCTTTCTTTTTTCCCTCTTTCATGAGATTCCAACAAAGAAGTTCCAAAACGCAGCCCATCTTATCTCTTGAGGTTTGAGTCTAGATTTCTTTGAATCTATGTTGCTTGTTAATCTGGGGGCTCCGGGAGTGGTATTTTGTTGTTGTTGTTGTTAAGAAGTTCAAATTCTATAATAAAGGGACACAATTTCCTTCCTGTGTGCAGCTGTTGCTAAAAGTGATGCAAACATGATTTGCTATGAAACTTAATACGGTCCACAGGCTGCAATTTCCACGTCCAGTGAGCTAGTTAGAGAAATCCACAGGAAACAGACGGAAACTTGCCTCCGTACAGACTGTTTGTCAGCCTATACTTATTACATCACCGGCTACGTGATTTTTTGGAAACTGTTCTATTCATTATTCCCACAATGGAGAAATAATAGTCTCTGAGCAGAAGACAACACAAAAGTACATGCAAATGTTCATTAATCACATTATGGACTGAACAGTTCCAACACTGGTCTGCTCACGTATGTACTTTTAATATAAATATGACAGAAATATTACAAAGAGTTGTCTGAATATTGCAATGGCCCTTCACTTAGGAGCTTCTCAGAAGACATTATCTCAACACAGAGTGATTTTTTTTTTCCATCTCCTGGGGGATTCCAGGAGCCATGATAAGGTGCTGGCGTTGTGAAGGAAGGATTCGCCTGGGATTTTGGTGGACCAGATCTGAGGAAGTGGATCAGAAGCATTTGTTTTGGCCATGACCCTCCAGGCCTCGCATCTCACCAAGTTTCATAGCCCGGGTTGGCTGCCACGTGTGTTGCTGGGTCCTGGAAGCCGGCTGGGGGTGGGGGTCTGGGATTTTATCTTATACCTGGTCCCTAACAAGGAGGTCACTGTGGATCTACCTTCCCTGACGGATGAAGATAAGGATTGTCTTCCTATATACAGCCATGCAAGGCTGAACTGAGGTCATGTGGAAGAAGCATTCAGAAGATCTATAACTCTGAGGTATATTCCGTGCCTTGTTATGAATACACTTACCACGGACATGCAGCTGAGGTTAATACTCAGCTCATTTCTGAGGACCACTTATTCCTCACATTCTGGTGCGATGATAAGGGTGGGCAAGCTGATTTAAGGGCCTCCTACTCGAAATGCTAGAAACCGTAACTAAGACCCAAATCGTGACTTGTGAACCTTACCCACGGATTATGACCCAGGATCTACTTCCCCTCCACCAGCCGAGGAACTGGATGCAGTTACATCCCATAGTACACATTCCATAGTTCCTTTTGAAAACAGTACATAAACAACAATTCACTCTTCAAAATGGAGATGCTTTTGTTTCCACCCTGAATGTTGGGACTGAGAATTCGGCTGGTTGCTTTAAGCAATTGTTAGTTCTACACTTGTAGGGTGCAGAGTCTTAACCCATCAAGATTTGCCTTTACTATGAACCTGGAATGTGGAGGAAGGGGCCAAGGGAGGCCCTGGCCAACTCTTGGGTCTCTTTGACTCTCTCTGGCCAGTCTCTCTCACAAAAGCCTTCCTCTCTCCCTCTGGGACTCTGCTTGGGGTCTTCCCACCGACCACCCTCTCCCCCACTCACTACCCAGTTAGCAGTGCCCGGCACTTCAGGCTGCCGGGAGCACCTCTCAAGGAGGCAGGAAGAGAAGCGAAACCATTCCTGGTCGGTGGAGCTAGGAGACAGTTTAGGGAGAGGACAGTAGCAGGAGCTTCAGATCCAGGGCACATAAGCTACAGATCTCCACATAGGTAGACGCAAAGTATAGGTACTTCTGTTCCCTGCTTGGACTGAACATTTAGAGTGCACCCTAGTAGGGATGGTTAAAGGTATACTGGAAACTGGAAGCTTCCCTTGGAAACCCTTTCTACCTTCTTTAGTACACAGAGGTGGTCAGACACAGAGGCAAGCTGGCGGTGGGCTAGGAGTCAGAGCCCAGGGGTTCCTGTTGCAACCCAGCCTCTCACGCCCAGCTTCTAAACTAGCGCCTCGCACACGTAAGTGCTGGGTGTGAGAGAGGGGCCTGGGAGAGGACACGAGAGAGGGGCAGGTGGGGGAGGAGATGCCTGGTGTTCTCCAGGCCTCTTACGGCTGGGTAATAGGAATCAAGGTAAGTTCCCAATATCCCTGGCCCTCAATTCTCATCAGTAAAATGGGTACGATAGAACATGACATTTGCCGGGGCGCCTGGGTGGCTTAGTCGGTTGAGCGTCTGACTTTCGCTTAGGTCATGATCTCGCGGTTCGTGGGTTTGAGCCCCGCGTCGGGCTCTGTGCTGACTGCCAGCTCAGAGCCTGGAGCCTGTTTCAGAGTCTGTGTCTCCCTCTCTCTCTGACCCTCCCCTGCTCACGCTGTCTCTCTCTCTCTCCTAGAAATAAATAAAACATTAAAAAAAAAATTAAAAAAAAAAAAAAAGAACATGACATTTGCCTGTTTCACAGAGCCTGCTTTGTAAACAGAGAAGCTTCACCAAAATGCTGGTGACAATTAATCTCACGGTTTATGAGATTGAGCCCCATGTTGGGGCTGTGCTGATAGCGTCGGGGCCTGCTTGGAATTCTCTGTCTCCCTCTCTCTCTCTGCCTTTTCCCTGCTCATGTGCACTCTCTCTCATGTGTGTGTGCTCTCTCAAAATAAATAAATAAACATTATAGAAAAAATAAAAATAAAGGAAAAGAAGTTGGTTGCTGACTGAAGTTGGTGCAGGGAGCCTTGATGTTAGACAGACTGGGGCTTGAATCAGGGCCTCTCCTGTGTATTTGATTGGGAAAATGGAGGCAAGCTATTCAGCCTTGTTTCTCTTCTATAAAGTGGAGAGAACAGTTGTGATCATGCAGGGCTAACGTGGGGACTGAAGGTAAGGCACAAGTGGGTGGCCTAGCACAGTGATGGCCCAGGGAAGGGTCAGTCAGTTCGATGAGGCTGCTGGGACCTTCGAAAGGGAGGTGGGGCGGGGGGGGAGGCTGCTCACAAGCCACACTGTTATGAGTGGTGTGGTGGAGTCAATATATGCAAGGACAGGAAGGGCTTGCTGCTTTACTGGGAGAGAGGAGACAAAACATGAGACAGATTTCTCTCCTAAATGCACGTAAAACTGCAGACCCAGCGAATAGACCCAGGCTTCTGAGATGACACACACCTTTGCCAAACGAACACTCGAGAGAATGCCGCCCACCATGCTGCTCACAGCAAGAGACGCATTCTCAGGCTGCTGGTGGAGCGCCCTTTGCAAGTTGTCTGGGGCTTGCCTCAGCGACCAGCTCACTGTGATTTTCCTTTGAGCAGAAATAAAGACGGAGCGAGTTGCAGAGAACACGAAGGCAGGTCTAGTCTCCGTGTGGCCTGTCACTGCTCATACCTTCCTCTGTGCCTCATCGCCTCCCGGGCTCTGGAGGCCGTGCCAGCCCTGGGATGGAGCCGGGATGGAGCTGGGAGGGGGTGGGGGACAGCGGGAAGCCCTGGCAGGTTGAGCACACTCAGAAATAAGGGTGCTCCGAGTCTGGAAGTCAGTGTGGACCTTCTCTGGGTACAAACCAGCCACTTCCCAAGATGCTTTCTGCTGTTTTTCTTTTCTTTTCTTTTTTCTTCCTTTCCTTCCCTTCCCTTCCCTTTCCTTTTTCCTTTCCTTTCCTTTAAAGAGGGATGCTTCTCATGCATTTGTTCATGGAATTCTCACCTCTTCTGAAACCCTGTGTCACCTGATCATAGACTGAAGGCTCTTGGACCCAGAGCTGCCTTTTTCTGGAGAACCAGGAAGTATGTGGCCCCTTGTCAAGACACAGCCCTCTCCTCTTTACGCTTTAGTCTATTGCCAGGGTCACGTCTTAGCCTGCCACATTGGGGAAGACGTCTACGTTTGCGCAATGGTAAGGCCTACAGGAGAAGAATTTATTTATATCCCAAAGAAAATAAAGTTAAAAAAAACAATCAGGAAGCTCCTTAATAAGGGGCTGCTCAATTAGCACCCCCGCCCCTCCACCACGGTTCTCTGAGTAGCAGGAGAGCTCCGAACTGATGGGTCCTCCCCCACCCACCCCCACAGCCCATCCAGACTCTGCGTCCGGAGCCGGGGTCCCTCCCTGCTCTGGCCCCAAAGGAGCCTTCAGGAAACGGAGGAAGTATGGACACGGCCCAGGCATTTGCTTAAGTATTTTTAAAAAGCTTTCCAATTCTGCTATTTTTTTCTCCTCACATTCAATATTCTTGGTTGCTAAGTGGGAGGAAATGTGGGGAGGTGGGAGAGGTGTGGAGAACGGAGGGAAAATTGGCAACATGAATGCTGAGGGGTATATTTTCTCCTTTCTGAAGGGGGTGCAGGCAAAGGAATGCTCCGGCGGAAGCAGCCAGCCTGGGTGGTGGCTCCTGTTCACTGGGCTTGTGGCAAAGACTTCCCCAAATCCTGCTACTTCTGGTGGGCCAGGAGTGGGGGGCTTTTTGGGAACATAAGATGGGCATTTTCTATTTCTGCTTACAGACTCAGAAGAGTAGAATTTTTTTTTTTAAATTAAAATGATCTTTATTTTCAGAACGCGTCCACAAAAGGGATGAGGCCAGTTTCACGATTATCTTCTCACTGAGGGGAAGATGGGGCGCGGCGCAGTCACGTGCCACCGGCTATGGACGTGAAGGGGATTCCTGTCTAGTTGTTGCGATGACTCTGGTGATGCAAGGGTCGCCTGGCCGCCCACTGGGCGTAGGACTGGATGGCGGGCTGGCTGGTCAGGGTGAGCACCCTCCCTCCTGGCTGCACTGGCCCCCCGGCCCGTGGTCACAAGTCTTTCTAAGGTCAGATCACAAACATGCATCCGATAATGGGCCCGATTTTGAATATAGTTTTTGAACAGCAGAAACTTTGGTCAAACAAAATCCCACGCAGAACGCTACCTGCGCTCTGCTGCCTCCCTGGCGCCTGTCCCACCAGCGCTGCAGGCCAGTGGGGGGACTGTGCTGGGCAAGGGACACATTTACGGCACATTTATCATGTGAGTTGACATTTTTAGGCTCCTGACTTCTAAGAGCTGAGTGTGGGCTGTCCGTACATCTTGCTATGAGCTTGAAAAATGTCCTGAGTGTCTGAGCAGTTGTCTGAATTCACTTGAATTATTAGGTCCCTTTACATTAAATGACTTCCTTTGTAAGGCAGGACACAATTAGTAATCTAAGCGCACTCCGGGAAGAATTGTTTGAGACTTGAAATGGGCATAGCAGGTTACCGGGTGTCTTTCAGTGGTGAGCTGGGGGTTGGCTGGTGGGCCTTTCCCCGATTATCCGCCTCTGTGAGGCAGAGGGACCCTGTAAAGAAGGTGCCCCCCCGACCATATATTTCACTCTTCTATAGGATCCTGTCTTTGCATGTCCTTGCAAATTCATTTCAGCATATCTATTGTTCAAATTCTCTGAGCCAGCCTTAACAACTCACTGGTTTGCTCGTTAACGAGGCACATAAAATCTTTGGTATGTGCTTATTTCGTATTTGTTTCAGTCATGATTTTAACTGTTTGAAAATCATGGTTTATCAGGCCAACAGCGACTTCTACTTTCCTTAGTAGGACATGACTTATGATCTATGGAGGCCTTTTAGATATTACTGTGGGAGCCCCATCTGGAGGATAGAATTGACTAGCCTACCCATACATTGCCCGAAAGATGATAAGACTTGTCATACAAGTTAACTGAAGGCTGGTTGAGAGGACTCTGCTAAAGGTCAACTGCGAACAGGGCTGAGTACGTCACTGTGGTGGCAGCAGTAAAAGAAGTCCGAGGTGTGGGGGCCTCATCAGCCACCAGGAGAAAATCCCCTTGAAAAGGGACTGTGTGTGGCTCTGCTGCTCCCGGTGGCTGGAGGCGCACACGGGGAGGCAGGGCGAATGCCCGCCTGCTAAATGCCCATCGGAGACGGCACCAAGGGGCAGGGGCCCATGCAAACAGCACGCAAAGCAGGCCCCGCTAGCCTCTTACCTGGGGTTGGTTAGGTTGTAGCAGGATTTCCATATCTGCAGCATGTGCTTACACGTGAGGAGCGCTTCGTCTGGGCCCCGGCACAGCGACTCCACCTTCACTTTGGAAAACAGTAGTCTGTACAGGGGAGACAAAGGGAGAAAACCACACAGCTCAAGCCAGAGTCCCCGCCAGAAACCAAACACTGTGGGCTGGTCTAGACCCGGAAGCTATGGTGCTCCTATGCTCACCACTATACCACCAACGCTATGGTGCTCATTCTAGAAAGTGGTATCCAAAGGCTTGATCCCAGGCACCAAGGGACCAAGGCTCCTTGGTGCAGACCAAGGATTCTGGAACTCCCAGTTCAACATAGGGCTTTGTATACTGAAGGCAAATGCAGGCACACCAAACAAGACCATTTGTGATCAGGTTAAAAGCATCAGAGTGGTTGGGAGTGCCTGGGTGGCTCAGTCAGTTGAGCATCTGACTTTGGCTCAGATCATGACCTCACAGTTCACGAGCTCCAGCCCTATGTCAGGTTCTGTCCTGACAGCTCAGAGCCTGGAAACTGCTAAGGATTTTGTATCTTCCTCTCTCTCTGCCCCTCCCCCACTCATACTCTCTCTCTCAAAGATAAATAAACATTAAAAATATTTTTTAAGAAGCATCAGAGTGGCTAATTTTATTAAGAACACACGGATTTTATTGAGTGACTTTTTTTTTAATGTTTATTTATTTATTTTGAGAGAGGGAGGGAGAGCAGAAAGAAAGGGAGAGAGGGAATCTCAGGCAGGCTCCTTGCTGACAGCACAGAGCCTGATGCAGAGCTCAAACTCACAAACTGTGGAATCACGACCTAAGCTGAAATCAAGAGTGAGATGCTTAACTGACTGAGCCACCCACATGTCCCAGGAGCAAGTTTTACACAAAGCTCTTTATTAAGAGCTTTTAAAAACAAAACCAATTTATTTGCAAAGCTTCAAAAAGTCATTAAAAGGGAATCTTGATTTATTTACAAAATTACACAGGAGATGGGACTCAGTTGATATAGGCATCTACAAATAACCTTCCACAATGATCCTCACATGTGATGGATAAATCTCTTAAGCTTCTAAGAGCCTGAACTGCAGGCACATAGAGAAGGGGGCGTCTGGCACATGTCCTGTCCTCGGATCCTCTCAGTCCTGCTATTTATGGGCCAGGACTTCACCAACTCGATCCGTAACCACCAACTACCTCTTCCCTATTTTTGTTACCACCAATGGCATCACCCTCTGTCCAGACCTTTTTTTTTTTTTTAAAGTTTTTTTATTTATTTTTGAGAGAGAGAGAGAGACAGAGTGAGCAGGGGAGGGTCAGAGAGAGAGGGAGATACAGAATCTGAAACAGGCTCCAGGCTCTGAGCTGGCTGTCAGCACAGAGCCCGACGCGGGGCTCGAACCCACGAACCGTNTCTGTGTCTGGCCTTGTCATAGGTAAACACAGCAGCCATCCAGAAGTCTTATGTAAGTTGTAGGAGGAAGGATTGTTCTATGTAGTAAGTCCTTTCCCAAAAACAAGTTGGAGACATCTTGACCATTGCTATTTGCCAGGAGCATAGAACTCAGGGAAAATTCAACACTGCCAGGGGTCAACTCAGAAACACACTTTTTGAAGCGTTTTATTTATTTCTGAGAGAGAGAGAGACAGAGACAGAGAGACAGAGCGAGAGAGAGATACAGAATCTGAAACAGGCTCCAGGCTCTGAGCTGGCTGTCAGCACAGAGCCCGACGCGGGGCTCGAACCCACGAACCGTGAGATCATGGCCTGACCTGAAGTAGGACGCTTAACTGACTGAGCCATCCAGGCACCCCTGTCCAGACCTACTGAGAGCTAAGCTTCAACCCTTCTCTCTTCTCAGCCCCTCGGCTATCCCATTTCCAAATTCTACGTATGCCTTTCTGAAGACATCGGCTCCCCTGGGCCCGGAGCCCATCAGTACTATCCTTGTGAAGGCCCCAACATTTGCATTCCCAGCTGGAGAAACTACCGTGATGTCTTATTGCTGGTAATAATAAGTCAAAACTCCTTACTGAGTCCTCAAAGGTACCCTGCCCACCGGCTACTCCTGTTTCAACACCCACCCCATTCTGGGTCACATGTCCCTCTGGACCCTTTACTCCTACCAAAGACCAGGTTTCTGTCCTAACTGTATGAATGCCGTGTCCTCAGCCTTCATCTGTATGAATGAATCTGCTGCCCTCCCCCATTCTTCCTAAATTCTAAACCCAGCCGACACCCCTCCTCAACAAACAAGTCCACAAGTGCATCTCTGTCTTCCCTGTCGCATCAGCTGCTGTTTATTGTCAATGAAAACACAAAGAAGAGGAGGAGGGGCTCCTGTTTATTTAAGGGTCTCCTCTGGGCCACGCCCCGTGTTTGGCGCGTCAAACAATGTCAAGGTCATTGTAACGATTCTCCCCCAGGTGGTGGTTATCTCCGCACTAGAAAAGAGCAGCGCCCCTCACTTCCGGACTGCCTAGGATTGTGCTTGGAGGCCAGTGGGCCTTAAATACGCCTTTGCTCACTGACTGCTTTCTATACAAACCACAGGTTACAAAATACGTTTCCAGTGATTTAAGGTAGACATGTAGGAGAATTCTTCCACCACGAATGACATAATGGCCTCATTTGGAGGCACTTTTGGGGAAGAATGTCTCCTTTTCCTCAGTGGGAGATGGAACGAGGGTGGTCCGAATGCATTACTGCCCAAGCTCCAGAAGGGGTTAGGCAAATGGAACCTCCCTCCAAATGGAACACAGGATGCCCGAGGGGGTGCTGGAGGCTCTCAGATGGGTCAGGGCTACAGCTTCCTGGAGCCTGGATGTGCAGACGCCTGGGATGATGGCGACGGGCCAGATGATGATGGGGACGCACTCCCTGATCCACGGGCAGGTGGGCATAAGGGTGAGGCCAGACGTGAGGACAGGGCAGGGCATCTGCTCAAAACATCTAGGAAGTGGAGGTTCCCAGAGGCCTTTCCAGGACTGCCCACAAGGAAGGGCGGCCACTCAGGGCATTTCTGAGGAGCCAGGAGTCAACTCCTGCCCACGTCTCCACTAGTCCACATAGTGGTGGGAGTTTCTTCCCACCAGAATCTCCCACCAACCTTGGGTCAGCCGGGGATGTGTTATGGGGTGGGGAGACGCCACCCAAGGGTCACCTCGCACACCTGCAGTGACCCATTCAGAGGCCAGAAACCCCCAACCCCCGGGTCTGGTTGCCAAGCCGTTTTGGCCAAGGGAGACCCCACCTAGGACCACAGTGATGTTCTCTGAGAGGCACACCGAGCTCAGGTGCCCCCGGGAGGGCAGCGAGGTAGGTGGTGGGGAGGGTTTCCCTGCACACAGTGGTGGTGTGGCTCCCATTGTCCACGATTCCTTTCACTGTATCCGAAGTACAACATGCCGGAGCTTGTCTCTAAGCTTCAAGTTGGGGGAACGGCTCCACGCAAAGCCTCTTGGCTGGAAAAAGAACTTCTAATTAACATGAAATAACAGCTTTCAAACACTTGACTCAGGATATGGAGTTGAAAAGGTGTGGGCTGGATTTAAGAGAACCAGACAGGAGGAACAATGGGGGAACCGGCTGAGCACAAATGATGGGAAAGGCACCTGGAAGGGAGGCTGGAGGAACAGCATGAGAGAGACACTGGCAGAAAGAAGGAGCTGGAAAACACAAGCAGGGGAGCAGAAGCAAAGCCTTGCAGCTGCTGTCAGGTGCCTCCACTACGCTGGGCAGAACGCCCTGATGAGCCCGACTCCGGGATATTCCCTCGATGAGCATGTAAAAGCAGGAGACAGAGACGTGGCCTCCAGGAGACTGCTCCTTCTCACCGCTTCCAAACCTCAGATTGTCTGCAAGCAGAGACTAATGCCGAAGACAGGACGGGGATGCTTGTCAGCATACTGGCCAAACCCTGCTCACACATTTCAAGACTGTTCGAGAACACCTGGCTGGAGGGATACAACATTAGCCCAGAGAGGTGGGGAAGGCACACAATGATTAGCATTAGTGTGGTGCAGCTGATGTCCAAAGATGTTATAGATTCCACCTACTGAGGACACTCTGAGGACAAAACAGGAAGTCGTGGAAAAGCCTGGGACAAGCCAGCGCTGAGTACATCCCAGCATGTGGAACTGTCAACCCGTCAGAACACGCAGAGGGGACTTCAGGCTGGGATTGTCTGCCGGCCACACCAGCCAAGTCCGACCTGGAGCGGAGGAAGATGCTTCTCTTAGTAAGAAGTTAGGTGCTGGGAAAGTGGTCTATTCCTATGTCCTACGCCTGGCTCAAAGGTCATCGCCTAATTGAAACCATTTTGGTTCACAGTCACTGAAACAGGAAATGAATAAAAGACAGAAGAAGCTTGCCAGTATATGACTCTGACTACATTCCTGATAGCCCAGATCTAGCATGTCACACAATGCTGTTCCTGACCTGGCTCCTGTCCAAATGCTTGGCCTTGGTCTGCTCACTGCTTCCCCCATTCTGGCCATGATCAACTTCCTCCACATCACTCTTCTTCATGACCCAGGGCCTTTGCACATGCTATTCCTTCTGTCTGCAATGCTTTTTCCATCCACGTCTGCTTTTTAAAGCATCTACTTATCTTTCAAGATTCAGGTCAAACAGCCACTCCCTCCTTCCCCCATTGCCCAGTGAAGCCAACCTTAAGGAATAGGAGCTAAAGCTCCCCAAAGGGAAATGCAGTTCCAGAGAAGACATGAGCACTCAGCTGTGGGATAATAAACTACAAGCCAGGAAACTTCTGCTTTCAAGACAAGCGAAAGAGTAACAATAATAGCTTTAAATATTTCATTTAAATTTAAATATTTAATCACTGATTCTTACACTAACCCTGCAAATCAGGTTGAGAGTTAAGTAATTTGCCCAAGTTCGCCCTGCTGGTCACTGGTGGAATTGGAGCATAAACCCGGATCCATCCAACTCCAAAGCACTGAACGAGAAACACTGGAGAGTGACTGAAAATGCTCTCATCACGCTCCCGACATTAATGAAGATAGGCAGCATTTTCTAATCCATGGCCAAGTATGTGGAACCCTATATAATGTGCAAAGATCTGTGTCACTGT